GCAATTTTTTTCCCCAAAACTACTTAGTTTTCTTTCCATCGATTTTCGATGACGTCTAAACTGAGGAAATACAGTATTGTGATAGCAGCATGTTGCCGTGGACTCTGCTTCTAGGGTCTAACTTGTCCCTCTTCATAGTCTTAGCCCTTTCCTCCACTATCTTTCAACAAAATACTTTAATAACAGACTCACATTTTACAGCTCCTCTGAGGTTCCCCCCCACCCTGCCCCCTGCTCTTTGGGTTCTCAGAGGCAGGCACATGTTTACTTTCACAATCAGTTTAGTGTCTGATGTTACACAAAGTGATGACACACATAAAATGGCTCTTCTGTGATCGAAAGTTTGGACCATCACTGCCGGAAGGCCACTCACAACAGGACTTTCTCACCCACCCTGTGCTATGACAAGCCTTAATGGAATCTGGCCTGAGGAGTGTCTGGGTTCTGTGTGAGGTTGGTGTCAAAGCAAGTCCAAGCAAGTTCTCCAAAGTGCAGCCCTTACAACATCGCTAAACTCAAAAACATTCCTTCAAGGCACCACCCACCTTTCCCAGTGGGAATCCAGGGATCTAACATGTAAGCAGAAGAGGGTGTTAGGTTTGTGCTGTCAGAAGATTCATGGGGGAGGGGCAAAGCCAAGATGGGAAAATGAATGCCATTACCACCACAATATTCTTCTTAAGGATGAGGGAGTACACCCTGCAGCTGTTGAACACAGGCTGCACTGCTCAACATATTTTGCATATTTACACACACCAAGTATTTCCAAACAGGCTTGTGTTTGTTTAAAATCCCCCACTGAGATGTCTGGTAAATCTGTCATTGTAGAAAGCTATTTGTTTAGTGAAGTTTGCAAAGCTGTGTTCAAAATCATACATGCACACACACACACACAGAGGCACACTCACACACACACACACACAGGCACATGCACACACACACTGTATGCACTTCTGTGTGTGTGTCTGTGCATGTGTGAGCATGTAAGCTAGAGACTCACTGTCATCAGCCACATCGTAGAGAGATCTGGATTAATCTACTTATCACCTCATACTTAGAAATGAAATGACATAGAACCTAAGACCAAAGAAATGGAGAAAATAATTAGTTGAAACATTCTTTTTTCAGATTAAAATTCTGTACAAAGCAAAATATATATTAACATTATTGAGTAATTCTTGGCTTTCCTAAACTGTCAAAATTGAAGTTTCTTAATTGCTATTATCTTTATCTGTGATGTGTAAGTTCTTTTATCCAACTTTACTAATTGACAAAGTAAAAATTGTATATATTCAATGTATACAGGATAGTTTGATACATACATCAAATAATAATTACTACGGTCAAATTCATTAACACATCCATCATTAAAAGTGTTTTGGTTTTTGTAAGAAAACCCAGTACTACATGGACTTCTCATGTAACTGATTTCTTTTGGAAATGTAAAACACCACAAAACCACACATAATCACATAACTCATTCAGAAAAGGCTAGGGAACTTTCAACAGAAGAAATGGAGCAGTTTAAAGCTGTATTTTGCTTTTCGTAAGATACACAAGAAAAGGATAAAGTATCGTGCTTAAAGGGGAACAGATTTTGTATTTTTTGGCAGCATATTAAATCCTCTGTTGCTATATTTGGCTCTCTGTAAATAGCGGCTCGTACAAGGGCAAGGCAAGGATCAATGCTGGTGTCCTTCATTCAGCCACAGCCAAACTTGGTATGAAAGTAGAGCACTCGTGTTTGACTGTTGTTTCCAACAGACTTGCAGCTCATTTATTGATCAGCCGCATTCCAAAGTGTGGATTTCTACTTTGCTCATTAAAACTATCAAACCACGCATGCTTTTCTAAAATAGTTTTCCACTGCTTAACTGATAGCAGATGGAATCATTCTATCTAGACAGAAGTGGTAAGACTTCGCCATGTCAAAATGATTATCCGTCACTGTTTAGTCAAGTGATAGGCTTGGGGAATTGGCACTTCACAGGATGGGCCTAAGACCCGCCCCGAAGCAAAATAACTAAATTGTTATTGGTTGTTCTCAGAGAAAACACTTCAGTAAGAAACTGCACACACTCTAGGACTGTTTTCCACTCCTTTGAGCTCTAGTTGTGACGTCTTGGATTCTCCAGCTCCACAATATGTCCCCAAAACGACATGAAACATTTGAAGAAACAGCAGAAATGTCCTTGGCATTATCCTATTATCTAAAGGGAAGACAACATCGCTCACAAACACTGAAGCCAAGATTATGCTCTGCTAATTTCTCATGAAGTAGTAAGTCCTCCCTGGTTGCAAACTGATTTTAAGAAACGCACTGAAAACAATAATAGTGGTAGACTAAGATATATTGACATTCTTTCTCCCAAATTTGAGAACATTTATCTCATGCAGACATAGGGGCTACGAAATAATAAATACTCATCTGAATTCTGCCAGGAGAACTAATTTGCAACCACAACGGGACCTTACCTTGCAGGGAGGAGGTAGAAGAGAATGCGCGAGTAGCACCAGGTGAGGGGGACTGGTTTTGAGTAAGGAAGAAGGGCCCGGGGCGGAAGGACTACAGATACAGAAAGCAGATGTACAGATGTCCTCTCGGAGTATGGGAACAGGCTGTAGTCTGTGCTTTGTAGCCCAAGACAAAACCTGCACTAGATTAGAAGCCCAGCAGGTGCAGAACTGTAAAACAGTCTGTTTGTGTTGTCTTAAGTCATTATTATTTTTAGTTATGTTTTTGAGCAGCCGTAAATCCCTCTTATACTACCCTAGTCTAACTATGCCAAATGATTTGACCTGCGTTGCTGGAGGATATTCTTATTTAAGATTGCTTTCCAAATGTGTATTTTCATATTAAAGAACAATTAATAAGAAAAAAAGAGGGACTATGCACTGAGCATGAATAACTTCCTTCACAATACAAACCCTTGGAAACTTCTTCTCCAGGGCCACTTCTTCCATGTCAGTCAACTGTTGAAGAGTTTTGCGGTTGTTGTTGATTTGATATTGCTTACAGAAAGTTCTATGCTGACAAATGTGGAAACATGTTTCCCAAAGGGTCAAACAAATACCTTAGAAGCATCATACTGAAAAACTTCTCAAGACTCCTGCTGTTATGTCATTAATTCATTTCACTTGCTCTTCCATTATAAACATGTGTTTCATAATCCACTCCAAACTGTAACAAATAAATGTCATGGCACTGGAAAGTAACCTCATAGTTTACAAAATCTAAGATGCATTTTTTGAACGATATCTACATGTTTTGAAAACACAGAGGCAACAGGTTTATTTACCAGAAGTGCAGGCTCAATCATTAAAGTCACATTAAATTATTTATTAAGCAAATTCAAGAAAATGTCATCCGTTTTTCTTACAAAGACTTCCATGATTTTATATCAGTGACACAGATAGGAGTCCTGCATTTGAAGAATAACAGCGAAAAATCATATGATTTTACAATAATAAAGTCAAAAGTTTTAAGAATTATACATTATTCATTAGTTAACAATGACAGCATTGCCAAGATTGTTTGGCTTCCTTTTCTGGAAATAAGAAATCAAGGTGGCGTGATTTCTCTCAGAACAAACCTGGAATCTCACTGTATGCCAATGCTGTAAGATATGAAGTTCTATTATCAGTTTTCAGTCTACGTTATCAAGTGATAAATATAAAGTTTATCATATTGTGTATCTTTTTCTTTACAAAAGTATTTCACCTTACCTAGGTATACATGATGAAAACAAAAGGAATCCATGTTTCCCTTTAAATATATGCATTTTAAATGATACAAAGAACTCACATGAAGATTTCCCTATGTTGTACATTTTGAAAAGTACCTATATGGAATAGTGTTCATAAATCAAATAGAATGTCCACAAGTATACATCTCCTACACATTAAACCAAGTGTGTAAAAATTAGTACCTTGGCTCTCGCCACAGCACAGAACAATAAAATAAATCTACTTCTATCAGTATAGAGAGAAAAGTTCACATCTTAGGCCAAAGAGAAGAAAACCTCATTAAGAATTTTATATTCAAAAGGAACTAGTCGTAGTCTACAATTTAGTAGTCAGAAATAATTCTAAAAGAAACTTCTTGGTGATGGTGTGCCCCTTTCCAGAAGAGGAGATGTCCCTGTTGCCTTTCGCAACGTAACTGAATTGGTAAATTACATTTAAGTCTATTAGAATTCCCTGCGGTTTAAAAGGCAGATTTAGAAAATATCACTGGATCAATATAAACTGGTCAAAACTTCAAGAATATTCCCTTGATTAATCACTTCACATCACAAAATGTTTCAAGCAAATAAAAGCTCATAGCAAAAATTTAAAAGTTAAGACATCTAACTAGCACTAATTTTATAGTTTAAGAATTCCCAGAAAGCACGAAGAGGAAAACTACTATGCGATATTCTACAAGTTGGATCTGTGACCTAGTTCTAGGACCATGTGACCATGGTGATTAGCATTGGGAAGCTATTGAAACCAAGGTTCTGTTGCTGACTCCCTTCATTCCCCAATTACCAAAGTCATCCTTTCATGGCTTGTATATGCGTGTTCAGCTAGTTGCTGACACACGTTAGCCTATTCCTTCTGAAATCATTTTAATCAAAGTTTTCACCTTGTAATGGTGGATTGAAAAGATGCCTCAAACTGCAGATTTTTAAGGAGATTTTGTTTTGTCTCGCTAGTCTTAATATTGTCTGAAAGATGTTCGTTATGCATTCTGCAGGGAAGGGTTAAAAAAAAAGACACCAAACAAGCTTAATCTTTGGTGTCTCTTGCACGTAAGAATCACAGAGTGACTTCACTTTTGGTTCCATGCAGCTTCTGCTCTCCTCCCACAGATGGGAAGGTGATCCATCACAGAGTCCCTGACTGCCGTCAATACCCCTTTGTAACTGCAACGACTGAGTCAACTCTTCCCATCCTCAATAACCGACACAGTGTCAACATCTGCTTCCAATAACGTTAGTTCATTTTTTTCCCTCGAATAGAGTAAATCGGCTGACTGAGATCGTAAAAGGGGTGCTTCCCCCTCCCTTTCCATGCGAGCAATTTTTTTCCACCATATTGTGCAACTTTCCCTCCAAGGCAAGTAAAAACAAGGGGTGGGGGGGGGAAATTGAAAGGGAACATTCGTAATCGGGTTCCAAGGAAACACAATGCATACCTGACAAATACAAGTTAGGCAGCTTGAAGGCAAAAGGCACTGTCCTCCTCATTTCAGAGACAGCAATGTATAGAGTTGTGAATGAATATGACTTAGACTCAGCCCACAACCACTAAATGTTTAATTAACTTTCCTTTTAAAACACCGTATTAAAAATTCAGAGTTAATTAAGAAGTCAGCAATTTTTTTTCTCCTGTAAGAAGAGTAAAAGGTTCTCTTTGCCATGCATGACTCCTTAGAGAAAAGCAGCCACTGGTTTACTTGACTTCTGAAGAATGAATATGCAACATGAAGGAAAAAAAAGGATATTTAAGGGTTCAACTTAAAAACCAACTTGTTGAACCGATGCTCATTTGTGGAGGCTGTCAGTTATTTGAACTATAAGTCAGGCACATCTGTATGTTTTCAAACTTTCCCAGCCTTCTTTATTAGGTAGCATTGTCCCAGTTTCATCAGGAGGTAAATAAATGACGTTCCAAATCACACAATAAGCCATGGCTAAGTCAGACTTCGGTGAAGAACAAGTTTACACTAACTCCTCCTGCTCGCCTACTCTCTTCTCAGCCGAAACAGTAACATGTGTCCTTCTCTTGTCCATCACTTACTGCCACTCCCACCAGCTAATTCAGCAAATATTATTTCACACAGGATGCTTTTCATAAGGGACAGACTGCAATTTCTAACGATAGTCTCTGTCACTTGAAATTACAGTTACAACCTTTAGTCACGCAGTGAGCTTAAAGATACTTCCTTTTCCATTTTCGGTAAGCTTGGAAATGGACAAAAACAAGGGACTCATATAGGCATCCTATAAAACATTTTTAATGATATAAATTCAGGAAATGTATTCTTCAATATTTTTGCAATTCACTAATTTTTGGGCAATATTACTACTTTGTGGAGGTAATATAATGCAAATCTTAAAAAGAAATAGATATGAGAAAAGTTGGAAAAGTTAAAAAAATCTGTCTTTGTTCATAAAAATTTTAGACTCTAAACTTTAGAGTCCCTTTACAAATTCACAAAAAAAGATCACATATCCTGTGTGGACCCATATAGTCAACATTATGATGTTTCTTAGATTAGATAGTCCATTAGTGAAATAATAGATTCTATATAGAATAATAAAATTTCCAGTGTTATGTTTACAGGTTTTCAGATAGACTGAAAGAAAATTAAGTTGTAAAACAGTCAAAGGTAGAGTGGGTTTAATGAAGTCAGAGGGGCAGGTGGTACTCACCTTTCAACAAAGCAGCCATACTTTGAAGTGAAAAAATCCATACTCAGAGTATAATATAATAGCATTTTACATGCGAATGAATTCAGATTATTTATTTTGCTATGTTATAACTCCCTTTAATAGAGCTGGTTGTTAGAGTAATGTCAAAACATTGAGTGATGCTGGACAACTAGACACGTTCCCTCTCCTTTCACTAGATTTGATGCATTTCTTCGGTGACAGTGTGCCGCTCATACCCCTGCTGCTCTCTAATGGAGGGCGAGCACACGTCTTTGCTGCATGCAGAAGATTCAGATTTTTCCACTTTCCTTAAGCCTCGAGACAAATAATCTTTTGCCCACAGTTCAGAGAGGATAAGAGCAAAATCACTAAATTATCTGCTTTCTCTTTCCATCCAATTTGATGATAAAGAAAGAAAGAAGCAAAGAGTTGGCCCTCTTAACCTCACCTTAACTAGGAAAATTCAATGAAAGAAGCTCACTGAGTTCAAGTGTGGCACCGTTCTAAGGGGCTGCAATGTAAGTCAGTATGTTCCAAGACCAGATGAGACAACAGCCAGTGAATCTCTCTTAACTCAGGAGGACTCAAGCCAAAATGAATTTGACAGATGCATTCAACTCTGTGATCCACATATTTGTGCAGATAACAAATAAAATCAGTTTTTTCTTTAATCAAAGTCCAGACAAAAAGGAACAGAATTTAATGAGGCCACTGTCTGGATATTTAAATTATATATCATCAAGTGGAAGCTACCGTAAGTCTAGACTCCATGGTGAGGGGGGGGGATGCAAAGACTGTGTTAAAGAAAACCAAGATGAAGAAATGGTGTAGAATGTGGATACAGCAATGATATGGGATTATAATGCAAATCCAGCAGGAGGAGAAACTAATGCATATGATACAGCCAAGGAAAATGTTAGGAAAGGAGTTGTGAGGATTCTGCTGAACCATTTGTTGTGTCGTTAATGTGTAAAGTATTCACACCCACGATGTACACAATTAAAAACAGAAAGTAGCACGTTTCTCAACATTCAGTTTTGTGTGTGTTGAGAGAGATGAGAAAATTATCAAATACAAACATCTGTACCACACTCAGTTCCTATATAACCAACGGCTGGGAGCAACTGAAAGGAACAAGAGACTGTCTCTTAGATTTGCCAGTTACCGTTTCCTTCATAATCGTAATCTTGGCTTGATCTTCTCTTAAGGTTAATAATCCCAACTTCGCTTTTTTTTTTTATGTGTGGCCCATGTGAGTTTCATTTCTCAAACTTTCAATTTTTAACTCAGTTTCTGCAATTGAAGCATTAAGTTAAATTCATTGCTACTCTAATTTTTCTGCAACTTTTCAAAGCTAATTGCACTTAAAAGAAAATTAAAATCTTGCAACATGCTTGAATTAAATCATTACATATCAAATACATTACTTGTCAGTTTACAATGGAGAAGAAAAGTCAGTGCTGTGTCACGTGTCTTCCTCCTTTCCTGAAGCTACTCATTTGAATTCACTACGGGAAATAAACTCATTCAAAGTAGGACGTTCAAAATTGCCATGAATGAATGGTTAGAAATCAGGAAAGTTAGTCACTGGTATCCACAGGAATTATGGCTAAATGCATTGTTTTTCCTGTATTGAATGAAAGTGTGCATAAGCTCTTTTCCTAATTATTAAGATTGGATGGACTATAGAGAGAATGACTTTTTGTTCATTTCTTTGGGAAAATAAAAGTAATAAAATATGCTATAATCTGTGGCCCTTTAAAAGAAAGTGCCCTTTCAAACTGCACGTATATAACTGCAAACTAAGGGAACTATAATGGAATTAAACCTTCACTGAGATTCAATATAAACCCAATGCTTCACTAGTTTGTCTATGATAGCGCCACTGCTGAGAAAAGCTGAAACCCTTGAGGTACCCTTGGAAGCACAGACACAGAGTATTCCCGACATTTTAAAGAGCTGCACTTCAACATGTTTTGACCAGTGCTTTTCTGAGAGCAAGTTCTTTAAACAGAACTCACCAATTGTTACAATATTAAAAAAAAATACATCCCTCAAAAATATCCCCTTCATGCTAAACCAAAGTTTCTGTATTTCTACAAAAATAGAAGAGAAAGATACAAAATGGTTTTCCTGAAGGAATGAGCATTTCATCTGTTGGCTCATCTTCTGACAAGTTGACTAGTTCAAACAGAAAAAAGAGAAAACAAAAACTGATGTAGGTTCTGGTAAAGGCGTGTAAAATGAGACGTTGCACAGCTGACAAAGGCTCAGATGAGGGAAAACAGACAAAATGCTTCTCTTCAATGACTAGGACCCACTCTGTTTTCTCCAGAAACAGTTCAAATCTAAAGACAATGGCCTTCTACGTTCTCTTCTCCATCCATTTTTCCTGTGTCCCATTGCTGGATAGGAAATCCCAATGGCATCTTTTCCCAGTGGCCCTTGGATTCAGGTTGCAATATGACTTGCTAATACCATGATTCAGTACCAAGCTGATTCTTTGCTCTTGTCCTGATGTTGAAGACCTAAAAATGATGAGAGTGGAAAATAATGAAGAACAAGCATACACATGAAGCATTCATAAATGTTCCTGACCTGCAATAAACTGAGTGCAGAAAGTGAAACCCTGGCAATCATGAGAAATGACTTAAGGACAACCTGTTCTTCTCTAAAAAGGCCTAGGAGAACAATATGTGAAAAGAATGCTGTACTAGAACAGTGCTGTTAATACAATACAAATTCTTTGCTTTTTTTATTTCCTTGGATTAGGAGTGCATTATAATTAAAAATTGTACCTTAACTTCAAGAGGAAATGATAATGGAAGAGAAAACAGACATAAACAACCTGAGGAACATTTGAACAATAATTCAGTTAAGACTCCCAGCAACCAGTGCCATTAGACTTGTGGACTAATATTTGCAGTAGTTTTAAAATGTATTTCATTCAGAGGGATATCATTAAAGTCACCTATAGCAAGTGCTTAAATATGACTAAAGCATGGAGTTAGTAGCATTGCTAAGCTCAGTAGGCCCTAGTGTGACTAATACAGCCTATGACCTATTTGCTAATTTACTTCTTTCAACATCCTTCCCATCACGAATTCAGAGTGGCTCAGGAAAATCTCAGGGGCATTGCAAGAAAATGAGATTACATTAAGTATAAAACAGATATGTGAACATGTCAGAATTCCAACTGATAGGTAAAACAGGAAGTTGATGAAAGAGGACATTTAGAAAAATGTAAATCTCCGTTTACTACTATAGCCATTTAGTATCTGATACAGTCAATTAGCAGAGGCCTTCCCCGCCAAACAAACCGGACATCAAGTTTCATTTTGTATGGCTTTTAAAAATATAATTGATAAACACATCCAAATATATTGTATGCATTAAAATATTTTGATGTGCATACATGTTGAAACAGTTACTATACTCAGTTATCAAGTCTATCACCTCTTTCAGCTTCCTATATTTTTATATCTGAGGCAAATAATTTGGATGAGTGAATACTGTCAAAACCTTCTTTAGTCATTCAGAACATAACACCAAAATGTGAAGTGAGGCCTCCAAAATGTGGATAGAAAGAAATGACGATTGTTACATTAGTGCCAGGATCTCTAGCTATTTTCCTGGCCCTTTGTTTAAAGGTGATATCAATTGGGATTGAATATTAGAAACTGAAAAAAAAAACAATGATCCAGGATAGTTTTACATTTTGATTGCTGCTATAACAATACTTCTTGTCCCTCAAACTATCAAAGAATTTTATCATATAAAGATATTATAAACACTGTCACTGGATGCAGATACTAAGACATCATTCTTAACACAACGTGACAGAATAAATAAAAGGAACACAAGAAGCACATCAGAATTACAAGGAACAGTCTACACAGGAGAAAGCACTAGAGTATTGACTGAAGGCAATATGGGTTTCAAAAGAATGGTTTATCATTTTCTAAGATGACTGGCATTTCACTTAATGCACAATTTTTACTCCAATTACAAAGACGAGGGAGAGGATGATAAAAGAGAAAGAGAGAGGAAGGAAGAAAAAAATAAAAAGATCAGGAATGTATCACAACCCTCATTTGATTTACTCATTTTCAAATAACGTTGTGGGTAGAAAAATTTGCAAGCTGACATAGTCTCTGTGGGGTGACTTGTATAATCTAAGCCACCTTTACTGACAATTTGCTGACTACAGAAATATTTTTTTCATTATTAATACTTCTTCTCATCTTCTACACTACACAGTATTTCCAGAGCTGAAGACTGCATCAGTCTATAGAATGTCAACACTGCAAGTCATGAATACTGTTGTATTCATTGAGTGGTCTAACTTTTTTTCCTTTTAAAATAAAAGCAATTCCTAGTTTGATGTGCAAAAATATATGATTCCTTCAGATCATGCAAGCATTTTATCATAGCCAAGTATGGAATTACTTAAAATGGACTTCAAATTTTCAACCAGAATAGCAGGAATCATTCTCTCATTATAAATGCATCTCTTCCATGTTTGATTCCACGTCTCTATGCCACTCCAGAGTATAGTTTTGTTTTGTTTTGTTTTTTAAATCCATCTGCCAATTCATCTATAACCTCCCAGGTACTAAACAACTATTGGATCCTCGTGGCTTAGATTCTTCTTAGTGGGAAGACATAAATCAAATCTTTGCTTTAATTTTCAGGCATCATTTTCTGTAAATTTCAAAATAAGCATAATTTTGCAAAGAAGAGTGACAAACGCCCTACTCACATGCTTCACCATAAATGCAGGACCATTTTCCTAGTAAAGACAGTTACAGGCAGTGATTCAGGACACTTAAGAACCAGCCACTTAGATTTTGTCCAACAAAATAGAGAGAAAATTATTAGTTTTGATCCTTGTGTGGTCTACACACAAATCACAATTCTCCAAAAGCTTGTGAGAAGAGGCTCTCCTCTGCTACAAATTTTCTCCATTTGGACTCCTTTGGTCTTCCAATGCCAATCAAGTCTATATGGAATTAGGTCCCGATACATTCTGAGACATTCACTGGCTTTCAGAAATCACCAGAATTTTCTTTCTTTGTGTTAGCAATGCCATTTTGGCTTTATTCTTCAGTCCATATACTATTTTAGTAGAAGGGAAAATAAAAAGCATGAGAACAAGGCTAGCTAACATTCTTAGGATTTGGGTAGGCCAAGCTTTAGGCTAGGTGTTTTGCATGAAACAACTCAATCTTCTCAGTCATGCTTTAACAATATGTATTTTACTCAATTAGAATGCAGTGTTGGGGAATATAATTTTAATGTTGTTGATGTTGCATTTGTTTAACTCTGTAAAACCATGTTACTGTGCCTGTCTAAAACACATTATGGTTAACAGTCAATAGTGAGGAGAGGGGAATAGGTGGTGCTAGCCAGCAGAGAGGATAAATATGAGGAGAAAGCTTGGAGAAAGATCTGGGAACAAGAAAGAAAGGAGGAAGACTTCAGAGGCCAACTACCCAGCTACCCAGCTATATAGCCAGACATGGAGTAAAGAGGAAAGGAAAGGTGTATAGGAATGGAGGGAAAAAAAACCCAAGACCTAAAATAAATGGGATAATTTACGTTAAGAAAAGTTGGCAAGAAACAAGTCAAGCTAAGGCCAGGCATTCATAACTAAAAATAAGCCTCTATGTGTGATTTATTTGGGAGCTGGGTGGTGCCCCATCCAAAAGTCAAAAGACTAAAAAAGTAAAGAGTAAAATGTCACACAACAATGCAGAAACTAGGGGAAGTGATGGCTGCAGCACGTCTGTAAGGAGGTTTTCTCATGTATCAGAGATTGTATTACTCTTAATGACAGGATATATGTGCATCTCATGTGAACAGTATTGGTTACAAGCAATGGCAGTAGGACACTAGCCATAGTCTACCTAACCCTTAAGTAAACAGCATCTCACAAAATCAGAACACAAAAAGGCTAAACAGTTCTTACATACCCCTTTGAACTCTTTAAATCCACATATGCCCCAAATTCTTCTGAACTGATATCAAGACTAAGATGAGGCTCTTTTAAACAACTATATTAACTGACATTTGCCTCTAACACATAATAATTACATTGTAGTCCGTCATGCTTCAGACCATTGTGGTGTAATAGGCTATGTGACATCAACTAATGGACCCTTCTGTGTTTATTTGTGGTGTAATTGTTCCAGACTCATCCACTTCCCGGGTGGGAACTTTTCAAAAATAGAAAACTTGTGACTTATGGCTTTCTGCTTGTTTATTACAAATCAGAAGTAAACCTGGAAACAAAAATATTGCCTTACTGACATCTGAGTTTGATTGTGAGATGTACTTAGGAAAAGAGCCTGGAAGAAACTAAAAGCCCAGAAACACATTTTCTCACTTCAGTTCCAACACCAACACCACCTGATCACCACAGAAAAGAAGAAAATATCCATACCCAAGCAAACAAATGGAGCAATTAAGAACTCAAGAGAAAAATGGTCATGGTAGAGCATCGCAGTTTGCTTTTATTTCAACGTCTGTGAGTCTGGCAGTCTGTCTGTTCAGGATCTTAAAACAAATGCTGCAAACTGGGCAGCTGACTGACAGCAGAGGTTACACCAACAGCATTCTAGAGAATCAGATCTAAGACCAAGGCACGAGAAGAGTATGTGTCGGATAAAAGCTTAATTTCTGGTTCCTACAAGTTCCATCTCACTGTATTCTAATGTGGGCGTATGTGCACATGTGTACATGTGTGTGTGTGTGTGTGTGTGTGTGTGTTCTCAAGTCCTTCAGGAGAAAATGGATCCCATTCCTACGGACTCAGCCTCTGTCACTTATTCTTACAAAGGCCCCACCTGATACCAGTGCCATAAGAATTATGATTTCAACACAAACTTTGGACAGGACACCAACATCCAAGTACCACCACTAACTGAATCTTAGAAGGAGATTACTGGGACCAACATCCCCACACCTGGGAAAAATAAATCCTACTCTAAGCTTCAAGAGGTCACAGTTTTACAGGTTGGTGTCTGGCAAAGACTACGGATATAGGAATCAGAACAGCAACTCCGTGTGTGGGTGTGTCTCTGTGTGTGTGTGTGTCTGTATGAATATATATATGCAATCATTAGAAGTCTAAAGTCTTCCCCGACCCAACTTCTTTTCAACTCCAAGGTACTTTGTGACAATATACTGAAGCTTCCAAAAACTCCCTTGAAGGACACAGGAGTTAGCTCAGAGGGGATTCTATTAAATCTATTGGAACTTCTGCACCCTCCAGTGGAAGACATGGATGAACATCTTGTAGGGATCACAAATGCAAAGATGAGCTTGCTTCCAAGTTTGATAAACAATAGAGAATGCATAAAGGAAAGGGGGAGGAGGAGAAGGTTTGAAATCGGGCAGAAGAGAAACGATGTGGCAACAACAAAGGCAGATTGCAAATGACTAAGTAGATGTGTGCATAACTTCCTAGAACTAAGAGCTAAGACCCATGTAGAGGATGAAGGAATAACTTGAAAATTTTCAAATG